TGCACTGATGGTGATAGTAACTTTCCTATGGATGCGGCAGTTTAATTTCCAATCTCAGCTTCGTTATAGGAAACCTTTTGAAAGGGGTAAGGCTTTTCTTTTTTAAATCACACTCTAGTCGATCCCTGCATAGCATCTATTCATACAAATGTTCAAGTGATGCTAAATTTAATAAAGGACATTCAGTCCCCAAGAGTAAATGGAAGTGAAAAATAGACAAACAGTTCCTATGGTGTGTCCTTTCTTTCTTTCAACATTTAATATGGGTCACACCCAAGAGTTAATGCAAAACTTCTGAGGAATCCGTGACAAGTAACTTTGAATCAAAATCATTGCCAGTTCTTTGCACACTATTCTGATTCATTTCACTATTTTCAGACATTGCCCTCCTCCCCCTCCCTGAACAATCTATTACGCTGGAGTAAAGTCCCACTGCATTCTTTGAAAATCTGATTAAATTGGTAATTTTCCACTGCAGACTTGGATGATAAGTGTTTTTAGGCCATTTGACCACTTCTTCGTCATAATTAGCAAACAGCTTCTATCCTCCTGTCTCCACGCAAGATAGGTGAGTGACAGATCAAGATTACATTTGACCGAGCATGGAGACCTAGAAAACCAAATCAGCGGAAATTAAGGGGGAAAGTCTTCACTGGTTGGAGCCATACTTGGCAAGAAGAAAGGTTGTTTTCATTGTTGGAGGTTAGTCATCTCAGTTGCAGGGCATCTCTGCAGGAGTTGCTCAGTGTAGTGTCCTAGGCCCAGCCGTCTTCATAAAATCTGAAAGAACTGCGGATGCTGTAAGTCAGAAACAAAAACAGAAATTGCTGGAAAAGCTCAGCGGGTCTTGCAGCATCTGTGGAGAGAAATCAGAGTTAACGTTTCGGGTCGAGTGACCCTTCCTCAGAACTGATGGTAGAGAGGAAAATATCGGGTTATATGCAGTCGGTGGACAATAATAAAGATCGGAACGGAAATCCAGTCGGAGAGAGGAGCAGAACTTCTTCAAGGTGGGCATGCCTGAAGGAGAAGTGGCAGTGAGTTAAATACTAAATAAAAACCAAAAGAACTGCGGATGCTGTAAATCAGAAACAAAAACAAAAATTGCTGGAAAAGCTCAGCAGCTCTGGCATCATCTGAGAAGAGGAATAAGAGTTAACATTTTGTTTCGAGACAGGAAAAGGTATTGTAGTGGAATTCCCATTGGAGAGAGGAGCAGAACATCTCCAAGGTCGACTTGAAACGTTAACTCTGATTTTCTCTTCACAGGTGCTGCCAGACCTGCTGAGCTTTACCAGCAACTTCTGTTTTTGTTTCCAACCATCTTCAATTGTCTCATCAGTAACCTTCCCTCCATCATCAGGCCAGAAGTGGGGATGTTCACTGATGGTTACGCAACGTTCAGCACCACATGCAATTCCTCACACACTGAAGCACTCCATGTCCAAATGCAGCAAGACCTGGACAGTATCCAGGCTTCGGCTGAAAAGTGGCATGTAACATTTGCCCCACTATCAACTATGGACCAGAAACTGAACCGGACTAGCCATATGAATACGCTGGCTACAAGACCAGGTCAGAAGCTAGGAATACTGCAGTGAGTAACTAACTTCCTGACTCCCAAAACCATTTACACGGCACAAATCAGGAGTATGATGGAATATTCCACACATGCCTGGATGAGTGCAGCTCCAAAAACACTCAAAAGGCACTACGCCACCCAGACCATAACAGACTGCTTGACTGGCATCACACCCACAAAGCATTCATTCCCTCCACCACCAATGCTCAGTAGCAGCAGTGTCTAACATCTACAAGACACATTCTAGGAATTTGCCAATCTCCTTCGACAGCACAAGATGTGGTTTTACAGCCCAAAATGCCAGGGCTGGCTCTGTGAAATGTGTCAAATTTTGCAATGAATCCAGCTCTTTGCTTCTCAACTGCACACCTTTCAGATCCCTTTGAAATTTACGATTGAATGTACTTCAGGCTTTGCAGTCCCAATCATGGCAGCTCCAGACTCAGTAGTTAAATGCCCGTTGGCATGGCTGGTATTGACTGGCTATACTTTGTTACCTCAGGTGAGTGGCTTGTTTGGTAACTTCTGAGGAAAAGGGAGCAGGAACAGGCCATTTGGCCCCTGAGCTTGCTGTGCTCTTCAACTAGATCCACCTCAACTCTACTTTACAGCACTGTTTCCATCTCTCATGGTGTCTTTAACATCTTTAGTATAGGCCCTAATGGTATAGTCACTGAACTAGTAATCTAAAGGTCCAAGCTAGTGTTCTGGTATAAACAAAATAAAGAATTTCGGATGCTACTGTACTGAAGAAGGGTCACTGGACCAGATACGTTAACCCTGTTTCTTCCTGCCCGAGTCAGTGAGTTTTTCCAGCAATTTCTGATTCTGTTTCTAATCTTCTGGTGACATGGGTTGGAGTCACACCATGACATAGAGTCATAGAGTCATGGAGCCGTACAGCATGGTAACAGACCCTTCGGTCCAACTCGTTCATGCTGACCAGATATCCACAATTAATCAATTCCCATTTGCCAGCATGTGGCCCATTCCCTCTAAACCCTTCCTATTCATATACTCATCCAGATGCCTATGAAATGTTGTAATTGTACCACCACTTCCTCTGGCAACTCCTTCCAGACATGCACCATTCACCATGTGAAAAAGTTGCCCCTTAGGTCCCTTTTGAATATTTCCCCTCTTGCCTTAAACCCATGCCCTCTAGTTTGGACTCCTCCACCCCAGGGAAAAGACCATGTCTAGTCATCCTAGCCATGCCCCTCATGATTTTATAAGCCTCTGTGAGGTCACCCCTCAGCCTCTGATGCTCCAGAGAAAATTGCCCCAGTCTATTCGGCATCTCCCTATAGCTTAAATCCTGCAACCCTGGCAATACCTTGTAAATCCTTTCTGAACTCTTTCAAGTTTCACAGTACCTTTTCGTCTTTGAAATAAATGCTTTGGATGTGAACATAGGAGGTATGGTTAGTACATTTGCAGGTGATACCAAAATTGGAGGTGTAGTTGACAGTGAAGAAGGTTACCTCAGAGTACAACAGGATTTTGATCAGATGGGCCAATGGGCCAACGAGTGGCAGATGGTGTTTAATTTAGATAAATGTGAGCTGCTGCATTTTGGAAAAGCAAATTAAGGCAGCCTTTATACACTTGATGGTAAAGTCACAGGAGTGTTGCTGAACAAAGAGACCTTGGGCTGGAGGTTCATAGTTCGTTGAAAGTGGAGTCCCAGGTAGACAGGATAGTGAAGAAGATGTTTGGTATGCCTGCTTTTATTGGTCAATGCATTGAGTATAGGAGTTGGGAGGTCATGTTGCGGCTGTACAGGACCTTGGTTAGGCCACTACTGGAATACTGCATGCAATTCTGGTTTCCCTGCTGGAGGAAGAATGTTGTGAAACTTGAGAGGGATCAGAAAAGATTTATAAGGATGTTGCCAGGATTGGAGGGTTTGAGGCATAGGGAGAGGCTGAATTGACTGGGGCTATTTTCCCTGGAGTGTGAGGCTGAGAAGTGACCTCATAAACACTTAAAAAATAATGAGGAGCATAGATAGGGTAATTAGCCAGGTCTTTTCCCCAAAATTGGAGGGCTTAGGTTTAAGGTTAGAGGGGGAAGATTTGAAAAGGAGCTAAGGGGCAACTAAGTGGGATGGAATGAGCTGCCAGAGGAAGTGGTCGAGGATGGTACAATGACAACATTTAAAAGGCATCTGAATGGGTATATGAATAGGAAGGGACTAGATTTATTTAGGATATCTGGTCAGCATGGAAGAGTTGGATCGAAGGGTCTGCTTCCATGCTGTATATGTCTATGACTCTATAAGATCCTTCCTGTAACAGGGAGACCAGAATTTCACACAGTATTCCAAAAGTGACCTAATCAGCGTTCTGTACAGCTGCAACGTGACCTCCCAACTCCTATACACAATGCACTGACCAATAAAGGTAAGTGGATTTTGAATTTAATTAAACATAAACCTGGAATTGAAAAGCTGACTTATTGGTGACCATGTAACCACAACTGATTGTCATAAAGATCCTTCTCCTGCACTAATGTCCTTCAGGGAAAGAAGTCTGCTGTCCTTACCAGGTTTGGTCTACCTGTAACTCCAGACCACGGGAATGTGGTTGACTCTAACTACACTCTGGGCGATTTCAGATGGGCAATCAATATTGGCCTAGCAAAGACACCCACATCCCATGAATGAATGAAAAAAAAGGTCTGTCATTCTCTGTATTGAACCCACGGCCCGCAGGGCTAGAGAATTCCAAAGATTCACTACCATCTGAGTGAAAAAAAATCCTTCTCATCTTTGTCCTAAATCTCCTATTCTGTGATTGACCCCTAGTCCCACTAACCAGAGGAAACATTCTTCCTGCGTCTACCCTGTCAATACCTGTAAGAATTTGGAACATAGGCCATTCAGTCCATTGGCTCATTGATGGCCCTTTGAAAGAATCTGCTTTGGCTGGTTCCCAAATACTGCCCTTTCCTAGATAATCCTTATTTTAAATAAAAACCAAAAGAGCAGCGGATGCTGTAAATCAGGAACAAAAACAAAAACAATTCAGTTCTGTGGAAGGGTCACCGGACCCAAAATGTTACCTCTGTTTTCTCCTTCACAGATGCTGCCAGACCTGCTGAGCTTTTCCAGCAACTTTGTTTTTGTTCCTCATTTTCCCGTTTTGCCAACAAGTGTAACTCTACACCCACTGATTACGCTCCCACTGGCATGGGAGCCAGTCTGTACCACTTGAGTGTAATGTTATCCCTTTGGTCTCTGTGATTCATTTCCTCCAGATACTGAACTTAATTGATTTTGGAGAACTGTTGTTCCAGTGATCCATTCAATGTGTTAATGAGATAAAATACTTTACTGATAAGACTGACTCATTGAAATGTTAAATAGTGTACACCTGTCCTCAGGTCCTCATGTATCTAATCTCTGTGCTCACAGGACTTCCTAATGGAGACCTTCATCATGTTCAAAGACCTTATTGGCAAGAATGTGTATCCTCCTGACTGGATGGTGATGAGTATGGTGCAGAACAGGTCAGTTACATTCCAATAGTAACTATCTGCACTGCTTTATTTTCTTATTAATTGACCCTATGGAGGAAATGTATGCTGTGTTAATGTCCTAGATGTCAGAACATAACGACATAACATAAGAACATGAGAAATAGGATCAGGAGTAGGTCATCTGACCCATTGAGCCTGCTCTGCCATTCAATATGATCGTGACTGATCTTTTCGTGGACTCAGCTCAACCAGGAGGCATGGTAGCTTAGTGGTTAGCACAGCTGCTTCCCACCACATCAATTCCACCCTTGGGCAACTGTCTGTGTGGAGTTTGCACATTGTCCGTGCATCTGCGTGGGTTTCCTCCAGGTGCTCCAGTTTCCTCCCACAGTACAAAGACGTACGGACTAGGTGGATTGACCATATTAAATTGCCTGTTGTGTTTAGGGGTGGGATGCTCGGAGGGTTGGTGTGGTCTTGTTGGGCTGAAGGGCCTGTTTCCACACTATAGGGATTCTATGATTACCTGCCCACTAACCACAACCCTTAGTTCCTTTACTGTTCAAGATTTATCTGATTTTGCCTTAAAAACATTCGATGGGAAAGCCTCAACTACTTCACTGGGCAGGGAATTCCACAGATTCACAATCCTTTGGGTGAAGAAATTCCCCCTCAATTCAGTCCTAAGTCTGTTCCCCCTTATTTTGAGGATATGCCCGCTAGTTCTAGTTTCACCGACCAGTGGGAAAGAAAAATCACTGTGAACGTCCTCCACTGTTCTTTAATTGTCCTACCATATAATTTTTGTTCCCAGTCTACCTTAGCCAACTCCTTCCTCATCCCATTGCGGTCTCCTTTGTTTGAGTATGTACCCGCTTCTAGTTTCCCCTCTCCTCCATCTCACACTTGTGAGATGGGGAGGTATCCCTTCAGATACCAGGAGCAATTTTTCTCTCCTTAGAGGTGGCGAGAAGGGCAAGTAATTGGGTGTGTTGTCCCTGGAGAGGTCACCTCACTAATTTGATTCATAATGAACCACTTATCCCTTTCTTATATTCTTTATATTAAAATACGAAGGTTTTTATTTGATTGTTTCTGCTTCTCTGTCCTGAGCTCTGGGGATCTGAAATTAAAACAGAAAATGTTGGACAAATACAGCTGGTCTAGCAGCATCTGTGGATAAAGAATAAAAATTTATGCTTTAAGTACAATACAATGTTTACCTTTTTAACTTTGTTTCTGGATCCTCAAATGCTTCAGAACTGCTGGGTTTTTCAAGCATTTATGTTCTTTATTGGAATTCATAATCCCACTTCAGACAGTCTATAACTGCCCAGAGCTGTGAAATAAACTGTGGAATGACATTGTGATAATGGAAGGTTATCAATCCGGTCATGGTAACCCTTGGGTTCTCTATTAGTTTGAAAATTCAAGACCAAATGATCACTCTCTGGAGTTCTCTTCCTCAAATCACTTTGCCTCCCTACCTCACTCCCAAAACACCACCATCTGCAAGTTTCCCTCCAAGCTACACACCATCTTGATTGGAAATATCATCGTCATTCCTTCATGGCCGTTGGATCAACATCCTGGAATTGCTTTCTTAAGAGCACTGTTAGTGTCCCTACGTCCCAAGGATTGTAGTCGTTCAATTTTGGTCTCCCTGCTATCGAAAGATGTTGTGAAACTTGAAAGGGTGCAGAAATGATTTACAAGGATGATGCTAGGATTGGAGGATTTGAGCTATAGGGAGAGGCTGAATAAACTGGGGCTATTTTCCCTGAAGCATCAGAGATTGAGGGGTGACCTTATAGAGGTTTATAAAATCATGAAGTGCATGGATAAGGTGAATAGGCAAGATCTTTTTCCTAGGGTAGGAGAGTCCAAAATTAGAGGGTATAAGTTTAAAGTGAGAGGGAAATATTTAAAAGGGACCTAAGGGACAATTTATTTCACACAGAGGGTGGTGCGTGTATGGAATGAGCTGCCAGAGGAAGTAGTAGAGGATGGTACAATTGCAACATTTAAAAAGCATCTGGATGGGTATATAAACAGGAATTGTTTAGAGGGATATGGGCTAAATGTTTGCAAATGGGACTAGAGTTATTTAGAATATCTGGTCGGCATGAATGAGTTAGACCGAAGTGTCTGTTTCCTTGCTGTACAACTCTATGACTGTAAAGCTACTCACCCTCATCTTTTCCAGGACATTTTGGTGATGCGCAATAAATACTATCTAGTCAGTGACACTCACAACCCAAGAATAAATAAAAAGTAACTCCTTTTCCTTCAAAAACCTCCATGAATCAGCAGCAGGGGATTCTCCGTGCTATCAATTGCCCATGATTTTTCATCTGTGGGCAAGTTTGTAAGTGCAGAAGCAGGGAACTCTGGCTCATTTATTTTAAAGAAGCTGGGCTCACTGAGTATGGAAATGCCTCATTTCACATTGAACCAGTATATTCACAAAAAGGTATAAATCTTACTCTTTCCAATTTTTTGTTGGGTATTAAAACTCAACAGGAATGGTTTCCATTGCATCCAATTTGCTATGGACAGATTGAGGTGAGTACCATTGATTTATTTAAAGAAAAGCTAGAGAAGGACATGCAGAAGAAATGAATAGAAGAAAATGTTGATGGGATGGGATTGAAAAGGAATGGGAGGAAATCTGAGTGAGGCTTAAATACAAGCATAGACCAGTTGGGCTGAATCGCCTGTTTCTGCCCAGTGCATTCTATGTAATTTTATGCAATTCTAAACTCTTCAATTTACAACATATCTATGCAACGGCCTAGTGGCACTTCTTGTTAGACTATTAATCCAAACACCCAGGTAACATACCAGGGACCTGGGTTCAAATCCTGCCATGGTAGATGGTAGAATTTGTATTCAATAAAAATCTGGAATTAATGGACTAATGATGACCAGTGGACTTTGTTCCTTAGCAGAATTCAAGAAACACCTGGATGAATACATGAATAGGAAGGGAATAGATCCTGTAGGTGAAGCCAGTTTTAGTATGGAAGGGTAAAATGTGTTGGCGCAGGCTTGGAGGGCCAAAGGGCCTGTTCCTGTGCTGTATTTTTCTTTGTTCTTTCACATCTGTCCATTTGCGTACCCTGGATTTTACATCTGCTCAATTTGTTCAGAATGTAGCATTCTCCTTGGCTCATTTCCAAAGCACAAGGTCAACATGATGCATGAGATTATTTCCTCAACTCCATTATCTTTCTGAAAACACGTTGTATGTCAGAGGAAGAACTGTACTAAAGATGAGCGGAACTCAGGAGAGTTTATGGCAAAATGTGGCAAAAAGAGGGAGATTGAGATCAAGGGTGCATTGAAGCCAACTGCCATGGAACAGCCTGAAATCTAACCTGAGGCGACAAAATCTTAGAAGACATAACACAGTGTGGAGCTGGAGGAACACAGCAGGCCAGGCAGAATCAGAGGAGCAGGAATGTTGAAGATCTGTTCCTGCTTAGCCCTTGCAGTGATACTTTTCACATTTAGCTGTTACTCAAGGGAGTTTTGTTTCGTCCACATGACTTACACGAGACTCCCCAAGCAGCTGCTCTACTCCCAGCTCTGAAACAGCAGGCAAGCCCCTGGTGAACAGAGGAAGCGCATCAGAGATACCCACAAGGCCTCACTGGCGAAGTGCCGCATTCCCATAGACACCTGGGAATCTCTGGCCCAAGACCGTCCAAAGTGGAGGATAAGCAGCCAGGAAGGTGTCGATCACCTCGAGACTTGCCTTCGGGGAGAAAGCAGAAGGCAGGCCAATGGCCCACCCATCCCTTCCTACGAACACCTTCTGGCTCAAGTGTAGCAGAGTCTGCGGAAGCCACATGGGTCTGTACAGCCACCTGTGGGCTCACCCTGTGAGCGGAAGAGAGCCATCTTTATCTGCGAAGGACCGCCAGTGGTGATGATGTTTCACTTTGCAGTACATTCTCAACAAATATAGCATTGATTCAAAATTGTTACCTTGGAACTGTTGCCAATCTATGGCCTCAAAGGGTCAGGGCTAAGACTTGCGAGTGAGCAGGAGCAGGCACTCTGAACCAGGAGAAGGCATTTAATTCTGGACACCTTCCCAGCATGATTTGCAGGTAGCTCTTGTGGTTTCTACGTTGACCTCATCTACAGAGTCATAGAGATGTACAGCACAGAAAAAGGCTCTTCAGCCCACTGAATCTGCTTCGGTCAAAAACAATCCCATAACTGTTCCAATCCCTGTTATTTCTGTTATGTCAAGAACCCCACCCAGAATAATTGGATCTAGTCAGTTATAAACAGCCTGAAAAAGGCAAACCTATTTAAATTGGCCAGTCTTGGGTGTCTGGGAAAGAAAGACAATCTGGAAGTTAAACCAAGCAGGAATAGTATTTTTCTTTTGTTACTTACTGGGCACAGTATATTTCACCATAGATTTACATTTCCAACACAGAACTTTCCTTGCAGAAAGAGTTATCAGCAGCTAAGAAACCTTGACAGGCCCACTTTATCTTGACAAATGAACCTCTAGCTTGAAAATTATTAATGTGCTAAAACTAGCTTCGCCACGAACCCTCCCAAGTTCCTGTGTCGTCTTTTGTACCATTTCTCCTCAGCCTCACAATGTGTTTTCTGTCAGAACAATAATGGAGCTGAGGGAAGTTTTCTTCCTGCATGTTATGCTCACCACTGCTCTTGTGAGATGAGCCAAGGAGAACACTACATTTTTAACAAGCTTCAGCAGAACCAAAGTCCAGGGACAAAAATAAGAACAGATGTTTTATAAATTGGGAACTGAAAATTATATAATGTTATCTTGAAGGTGTGGGCCAGAAACAGTCCATTCAGCCCAGCCGTTCTATGCTAGCATTGATGCTTCACTCAAGCTTCCTCCAATTCTTCAACATCTATTCAGTTCTCCGTCACAAGCCTTGTCTATCTTTCTCTTAAATGCATCTATGTTATTCACCTTCTGTAATCATTTTCGTATTCTCAGTGCTCTCTGGATATGGAGTTTCTGTTGGTTTCTCC